GAATTAGCATCCTAATAATTTGTATAGTTTATATGCACTATTTTTCCTACTTACATATGAAGTATTTAGTTATCCTTTACTTCTAACATAACACACCTTCATCCAGACTAACCAATAGATTACACATGCCTGTTCAAATGATTTCTACAGTAATTACATTCCATTCGACTAGCACTACACTAGGATGACAGAAAGCAACCCAAGTTGAATGAAAAATAAATTTGAAAAAGGTGAAAGTCATAATTATTCCTGGAAAGAATTTGTAAAGAAATGTACATACCACAGTACTGACTCTTCCTGGAATTATAGGCCACTATGACAAAGAAAAGAGCTGGGGGTGTAGCTTAGTGGTAGAGCACACGCTTAGGATGTGCTTAGGCCCTTCTGCATTAAGGCCCTGGGTTCAATCACCGTTATTACAAAATTTTGACAGTACAGATCTGGGTTTTTCAACTTTGCCACTATTGACATTTGTGGCTGCTGGGCATGGTGGTGCACACCTGTAATCCCAGCGAATGACTGTGAGTTAGTGAGCTCAAAGCAAGCCTGACCTAGACAGCAAGACCCTGTCTCAAAAAACAAAACAAAACAAAACAAAAAAGACATTTGTAGCTGGATAACTGATTTGGCATGCAAGGCGGGGGTGAGGGCCTCCTATGAGTTATATAGTATTTAGCAGTATCCACAGCCTATACCTGGTAGATACCAGTAGTGTTCCCCTCAGGTTGTGACTTTCAAAAATGTCTCCAGTCTTTTTGTCCCATGAGACAAAGATCACTCTTTAACATCTGTGGGGTAAAGACTGGCATGGTGATGCATGCTGTTAATTCCAGCACTCGGGAGGTGGGGAAGGAGGTGTAAGAGTGGGAGGCCATCCTGCACCATAAAGCAAGACTCAGTCTGAAAACACTGGGGTACAACTAGCCTCAGGGCTCATCCTTACTGTCCAGAGAATTCTTAAAAACAAGTAACTAAAGTTACAGAAACACTTTCCTGAAAATATTGTATGACTCACAGTAGAGTTATGACCTGAGTTTTCCAGTCTCCTTTTTAAACACCACATTCTCTAAAGGGCAAGAGCAACACACCCAAAAACAGAGGCATTTGCATGCCTCATCTAAGCTGGCAGTCACGATAGTTCCTGATTCACAAAGCCAAAGAAAACACATATGCAAGGGCAAGTACACTAAGTCCTCTCCCAACTCTAGAACTGCTAGGTGTAGTACATTTGGTGCTAGGGAAACTGGTATTTATATATACAGTATTCCATTTTGGCCTAAGACAGTAAATGTAACTGCAGACACACTACACTGTTTCAGTACAACTACTATTTAATGCCAGCTAATCACAATCTTGAAAAAATTTAATATTCTAGTTAATTAAAGTTCTTTATGTTGTAGAAAATCTTTGTGCCTTAACACAGAATACTGAACAAAACCACATTTTTGCCAGGCATGGTGGCACACACCTGTAATATCATCACTCAGGTGATGATCATCATCATCATCCGAGGCTGAGGCAGAAGAATCACTTGAGATTTTTAAGGCCAGTGTGAATTACCCAGCAAGACACTGTCTGAAGATGAGAGAGAGAGAGAAAGAGAGGAAATATGCAGAGACAGAGCTGAATGTAAATGTCTGCAGCCCGGGGAGGTGACACATACCTGTAGTTCTAGCTACTCAGGATGCTGATATAAGGGAATCACTTAAGTCCAGAAGTTCAAGGTAAGCCTAAATAACACAATGTGACCCCATCTCAAAAAAATATTAATTAAAAACTAAAAACAAATAAAAGTGATGCCAGGCTGGGAACATGGTTCAGTGGTAGAGCACTTGCCTAACATTCATAAGGTTTGATCCCCAGTGCCACAAAAAATAAAAATAAAAAGGAGTAAAAAATAAAATTTAAGAAAATTAAAATACCACGCCATACCACAGGTGGAGAGGAAAAAAAATGTAAAAACTTGTTTTAATAGAATAAATTCAGTAATTTTTTATTTTCAGTAGTGACTTATGTGCTTTTTTTCTACACATAAAACCACCAAAATCAATCTAGCTAACTGAAGGTTTTAATTAGCTATGTTCCACTTAAATAAAGCTTTTTTTAATTAGCAGTATTTACTTGGCTTGAATTTATCATTTTAAGGTATAAACACACTCAACTCCTTTGCTTATTTGCCTACTATACCAATAAAACTTATCTCCTAACTTATGTTCTAGCTGGGCCAGGAATTTAGCTCAGTGGTTCTGCCACCTGCCTCACAGGCACAAGGTCCCAAATTCGATTCCTGATACCAAAAAATATATATATATATGTATATATATTCTCTCTAGTTGTGAAATAGACTTAGCTAATTCTAACAATCAAAATATAGCCAAATAAAAAGCATTTTTTAAGAAAATTGTACAGAACTTTTCAATATTTGTTAGCTGTGCTAACAAATTATATTTCCTATAAAAAAAATCAGTCAAATGTAAGTAATCACCTACAGAAATATTTAACTCTATACTAGTATGCAAAATAGAACAACTACAACTGGAGGGCTGAGGATGTAGCTCAGTGGCACCAAGCCTGCCTGACAAGGACAAGATCCTGAGTTTGATCCCCAGTGCTGCAAAAAAAAAAAAAATTGAAGCTTCAAAACAGCATTATTGGATAATTGGGGGTTTTTTTTGCAACTATTGCCTGGTTCTAAAAGATTTTCTTTTTTGAAAAAAGGCTTTCTCCTTTTCTTCACTGTTGTTTTATGTATATATGTCTATTGTATATAATATAGTAATATAATAAAAATACATTCCTAAACTCTCAAAGACAACTCAGGAAAATGTTTTTAAAATTTAGACAAACTACCAGGCATGGTGCTACACACCTGTAATCAGTCCCAGTTCTCAGGAGGCTGAGGCAGGAGGATCATAAATTTGAGGCCAGCCTAGGCATATAGTGAGTTGAAGTCCAGCCAGGACAACTCAGCCAGATCCTGCCTCAAAATTGAAAAATAAATAAAGTATAGTTGTGTTACTTGAACTCTTACTCAAAGAACTTTGAAAGACATTGCTATCGACAACTGTACTTAAACTTTAAATCAAATCTCAAGTTTATAGACATCTAGGATTCCCTAAAATATTTCATGAAAACTTTAACCTTTAACAATGTGTGGCCGGGCGTGGTGGCACACACCTGTAATCCCAGCACTTGGGAGGCTAAGGCAGGAGGATCACTGTGAGTTAGAGAGACCAGCCTGGGTTACACAGTGAGTTCCAGGCCAGTCTCAACTACATAGTGAGACCCTGTCTCAAAAAACCAAAAAAACAAACAGTGTGTGATTAAACTGGGAATTGGAAGACTTTGCGTTGCTTGTTCATGCAACAACCTCTATCCCCGTAAGGGGGATCAAATCCAGGGCCTTCACAGCTACATCCCCAGACTTTTTTTTTTTTTTTTCAGCTTTAACAGACTTCTTATTTTGAGACAGGGTCGCACCAAGTCATGAAATTGTTCAGGGTGGACTCAAATTTTCTTCATGCTGCCTCAGTATCCCAGAGCACTGAGTTACAGATATGTGCCACCATGCAGTTTATTTCATTCGAAATTAGCGCCAAAATAACCTTTACCCTAACAGGTTGCTAGAAAGAGAAGGGGGATGGGGAGGGTTCAACTACCAACAACAACAAAAAAACTCTGTAAATATGTACATGAATAAGGGTATATATCTCAGAGGTAAAGCTCTGGCCTACCAAGCATCAGGCCTTGGGTTCTCTCCTCAGGACCTTACTTACTGAACGCTAAGGAAATTATGCTAGTACACATCTGTCCTCTTATTTTTTAATTTTATGAATATTAAGTGAGATCCTAAACTGTAGCTAATGAAATGATGCTGAATTAGCGCAAAGCTTCATTAGCAGATCTTTTTTAAATTCTCAAAAATATAAGTATTAAAGAAGCTGAGGGTTTAGTTCAGTGGTTCCACCGCCTGCCTTGCAAACAGAAGGACCTGAGTTCAATCCCGGTACCAAAAAAGAATACATTAAAAGTATAAGTATTAAAACAGCAACAAGAATTTCTAGGCTAGTTTCTGTGGGGATTGAAAAAAGAAAAAAAAACTAATTTAAATTTCCAGTTCGTATTTTGCCATGATACTAACAGAGTAAACTCTGTAGGTTGTGCTTTTTAAAATCTGCTTCTCCAAAGTAAGCCAAAACGTGTTAACAGTTTTAATCCGCTAGTTTTTCTTCCGCCTTTCACAAATCGACGACTTCGTATTCAAATCTGAGGACTGGAACTTATTAAAGATTATTCAAACACTGTTCTTGACCTCTTGCCTTTAGATTTCACAACTCAAACTCCGGGAAATTTCAGAAGCACACACATTAAAGCCAGGTAAAATGACAGGAAAAATCGCATCTAAGAATTTACGTTGACTCCCTATTTGGTTTTTATTTAATACTTTTACCACTTCTTTAGGAAAGCAAAAGAACAACGTACTAGAGAACTTACTACGAAGCCAATCCAGGCCAATTCTTTCTAATCTCCCTTTATGGTTCTAACCGTGGATGGGAAAACAACTTTCCTATGTGCCAATGCTTCAAGGTCGTTACAATAAAAATAAAACTCGCAACTCTAAGAACGCTACGTAGCCCTCCAGCTCTCGGCACAGAAAGCATCCACATTCCCGCTCCTCGCCAGCCCGTTAACGCGGCCCGAGCCTCAGGCTGGCGCCCCGGGGCTCTGCGCAGGGCGGGGCT